AGATGGGACAGATCCGATGGCGGCCGATTTAAGAAAAGGACGCTTAGAAAGCCAGGCTGGAGTTGCAGTGAGGCGCAGATGAGGCACCAAGCAGAGCCTGCCCCTGCCCTGACCCATCCCTCCTGTCAGGGGCTTCTACACACAGATAACATGGGCTAAACAAATCCACGGCAGCTGCCCCGAACAGCTGGTGCGCACGGTACAAGCTTTAAAGACATCGCCTTTTCATGAGTGGCATCTCAACCATGGTTGATGTCAACTGCAGTTGAGTCAAACATGGCTTTAGATCCTTCTAAAGTCCACAGCTTTTACGTATTTTCTTTTAAACTGATGGGCTAATGATGCTCTCCTATCCCCACTCAGATAAAAACTTAAGCAGGAAAGCTAAATAAAAAGAAATTTCAGTACTGGATCAGGTAGTTATTTTCTCCCTTCCCTTCTAAAAAGCAAGCTGAAAGCAAATCAGGCTGCCTGATTATAGCTAAAAAGTAGTTTAAAATAGACCCACTGTGTTTGAGTTGTGACTTCTGCAAACATTTTGCACAAATAGGGACTGGCTATCGATCTTTTCACATCAAAACCTTCAGCACCCTTCCCTGTGCCATCACACAGGACTGCACAAGCTGCAGGGCAGCACACACTCCCTGTGCTCAAATGCCAAAAGCCACAGAAATTCTTCAAGAGAAGCTCCAGAGACCACAAATGATGATGCAGGGAAACGGCTCAAGGGTTCACGAACACTGACCCACCAGCCAGGAGAGAACGAGGTGGTTCCAGGGGTCACAGATTGTTTCTCCAAGAGCTGTTTGTCCTTTTTTTTTCCGCTCCCTCCCCTGGCAAGTGCACCAAAGTACCCCACCTCCTTTGAAAGAAAAAGAAAAATAAGACAGGTAACTGTCACCTCACACCTACTGGTGGACTCTGCATGGTTTTGCCACCCCTTTGAAGACATCTGCCCGTCTGCCTTTGGAGAGTTCAACACAAGTGCAATATTTTAGCTAATGGAATTTTTTATCCTTCCTGTGCAGAGCTGGGGTTTTGCTCCTTTGACACCAGGAGCGGAGCTCTGCAAGACTCAGGGTCTCAACCTCCTCCTTTCCACGTGGTCCCGCAGCACAAACCCCTCTTCTACCATCACAGCATGTCCCGAGCTGCAAAATTAAAAACACGTGTGAACCCAAAACTTCAGACAAGAGCTTACAGCCAAATTGCACACACACACATCCCTCCAACAGGAAGCAGAGGCAGTACTCATAAAGAAGATTCGGCACTGTAATTAAAGAACTTTTTAGTCAAGGTTTTAATTTGAACAGACACTTTTACGATGCTCTCAAGGTATCTACAGCAAAGTTTACAGCCACTTTGTATCTGTTTTCCTCCCCTCAAATGGCTGAACAATTTGAGCCACCATATTTTTTTTTTCTGATTTTTTTTGCCTCAATATATTCAGCATCACAGCAGCTGGGATTCTGTGCAGATACAGCATACACCTCACAAGAGCACACAACTCCCAGCCCTGTTATTTATTTCCTTTAAGAAAAAAAAAAGAGAAAATAAAAGACTGATGAAGCAGCCAAGTCCAATTAGCAATTCCAGATGTTTGGGCAGAAGTGCACTCATCACTTAAATTTGCACTAGTTAACGGATACGAAGCGCACGTCACACGGTGCTATTCCATGTCACACACATTAAAGAAACAAAAAAAAGAGAGGGAGTGGCAGTAGAGACATTTTCCCTTCATAGAGGAACCTGTACATGAGAGCACTTTCCAAGGCTTTAGCAAAGCACACACCAGACGCCGATAAGCTGTACGGTGCAGTTTCAGTTATAGCGAATGCAACATGGACAAGAGTGCACTTAAACCCGTCGCCACATTCAAGAGCTGAATCAATACAATCAAAATAGTGAAGGTACATATTATTCCCTTATGAAATCTGTGCAAGTTAGTTCCTTTTCCCTTCTTTACTTCATTTTTTTTTTTTGGTCAATGGCAAGAGCGTCCGCATCGATTTGATCCTGGAGTTCGGGGAAGGGGCGGGGAGGGAGAGCCCTCAGTGTCCAGCTTGTTACACAAATATCTTGTGTGCAAAAAGAGCAGAAGCAGAGGTGTCGGTGAGAGCGTAAGGCAGTGTCAGGCTCAAGAGCCACAGCTGGAAGCTCTGGAGAGACGGGGAGACGCACACAGCCTGCAAACAGGGGGGCAGCGACTTCATGGGGCAGAATCCAGCAGATATCCCCCTCCTCTGAGAGGAAGCGAGTCGCTCATCGATATTAAATATGTCAATAAATACGGTGGGCATGCAGGGAAGCCAAGAACTGGAGTGCTCCGGCGCGTAGCGCAGCAGTAGCCATCAGGTCAGAGCCTGGGAGTGGAAAGGTTAAGAAGAGAAAGCACAAGTAGCTTGACGGAGGACATCTGTGAGCTGTCTTCTCCCAGGAGGACCTGCAAAGGCCCACACAGCTCAGCTCCATCCCCTGTGACACCTGCGGCAGGACCGCTTCAGGTAACGTCTCAGAAAGGTGATTATTTGCAGGTGGATTTGAGGCTCCAGCTCAGGCTGCTCGCAGGGAACCCGCAGGGATGCGTGGCCAAGGAAGCAGGGAAGACGCCGCCAGGATTTTCACCGCGATCTGCAGCGCTCGAGCGCAGATTCAGTCCCGAAACACAAGTCGAGGATGAAACGCCAGCTCAGAGAGAATTTTCTGCCTTTTGTTAGCTGTCACAGCTGATTACTTCATTTCCTCAGACGCCTGCAGTTTGCATGAGACTAAAGCAGCCAGGCAATTAGATTAAAAAAAAAACACCACCCGAAACCCTCTTTGCTTCTCTATTATTTAGCTCAATATATAATTACTATGTTAGGAAATTACATAACCTTTAAGTGTGTTTTATGTACAGCCTATTACGGGGAAAATAGTGCTTTCTGAATCCTTCCCATCTGGCTGGCGATGATGTATTTCAGATGTACAGGAAGAGCAGAAATTCTGTAACTGGATAGGGATACAACAGCCAGGCAGGTGCAGAGCCTAGAGAGGTGGTTTTTTTTTTTTCTGTTTTCTTTTTCGAAGGGGGAGCAATAATTTTAAGGGCTTACATTTGCAATATATGCCCAGAAGGCAGCTCCAGAAGCCCCAGGGTGTTACGGGGTACAGATCATCAGCCACCCTGAGAAGTGTCCCCTACGTCAGACTTGATGACGTGATTGACTGTTGCTCTCCAAACCAAAAAAGAATTGGGTATTGCAAGTAGGGGGAATTATTCTCCTGCCTTAAGTAAACAATGGTTTAATAAAGGGACCTTTTCCAGTTCTTTTTTAAGCCAGGTGACTTTAGGACTAAGTTTAGGATGGCCAAGATCTTGACCAACCTACAATAACTAAACCTTAAAAATAATTAAGGAAATAAGGACCGAAAAAGGCATTAAGGTAGCACTTTATCACATAATTTTAAATAGCTTCCTCAGTTACTGAGTTTTTCTTAGGCTCTATCTAGTGATTACATGATTTTTGCAGATTACTCTCCAGATGCTTCTATGACAGCTAAAGATCCTGCACTTCACGTGTAATCTCCCTTTATGCCATGTGGCTTTTCAATAAAGGCAGCTTCATTCCAAAAGCAGCACCAAGTGTCACGGAAGCTCCACAGTTTCCAAAGAGATCAACGCTGACCTAACGCGGCTCCGCTCCTTTCAGCGGAAACAGGGCAGCAGCAAGAGCCTTTGAAGATAATCCCAGCCACATGTGCTGTGCTAATTCAAGTCTGCTCACTCACCTACGGCTGCCAACGGAATCGAGCTGAACAAACGCCCAGGTGAGTAAATATTTGAGACGCATTCTCTTATCTGTCTTTAAGAAGAAAGAAAAAAAAAAAAAATAAAAAAACCCACCACAAACCTCTAGCAAAACCTCTTGATGTTATAAAATCAGTCACCGAAACACAAAGATCAGCTACAAAATACAAAGTTACTTGGGCGAAGAAAAGCTTTTCTCTAAAGCCTTTAAGCAGTTTTAGCAGCTACAAATGCTCTAAACTATGAGCACTTTTGCGGTGTGACAGCCTCTTAATCTGCAGCAGCTACCTGATGTGTTACATCACCTCGACTCCCAACTTCTGCTTTTGCTGTTTCACAAAATGTATAGTAAGACCACGAGAGGACAAAAAAGCACACCAGGTGGAGCAAAAGTGTTTGTTGAGCTGTAGGTTAAGCGCTGCTCCTGCACTCGAGCGAGGCTGCGAACCTGTTCAAGTGTACAAAAACCAGCCAGCGCAGTTCCAGCTTTCAAGAGGGCAGCTTGACTCTAGATAAAAGGAGAGTTTTGCAAGTGAACACTCTGCCAACTACTTAACCTTTGTGTTTTCCAGGTAGAATTAAAAAAAAAAAAAAGCTTGTTCCTTCGGAGATATTTGTCCACAAGGGACAATTCCACCTGAAGGTCATGGCTTAAACATTAGCAGCAGATTCTCGACTTCAGTTCTGTATTGCACTGAAATTTCTTGCTCCAGTGGTCAATTTACTGTTGCCAAGCCAATACTTCACACAAAAAACCCCTAAGTGTTAGATGTGAAGGCTACTGAGAGTATCATCTACACCGTTTTCTAGGAAACTTAAGTACTAAGCTGCCTTCCTTACTCTCGGAGAGAAAAGGTGCTTTCAAACAAAATGCCTTTGCCTATCTGTACATAACCTCGTGTTTTGATCCTGCTGAGAGTTCCAGAAGATCAGAGGAAGTCCAAAGGAAATTTCAGACACCCTGTCTCTTGGCCCGTCCTAGTCATCCAGTACAGCTGGGTGGAGGTAAAGAGTTCCAGCTTCTGCTGACACCGCCCGCAATTCGGAGACAGGAAAAGCTGCCACGAGAGGACACTGTGCCCAGCTGGGGATGTCTTCTGTAAACAAAACCTGAAATCCCTCCCAGAAAGCAGGGAGGTACGTAGTGTGAAGTGAAGGTTTCAGCAGTGGGAGGACTGAGGGTCAAACTGTACCCAGAGGGCTCTGCAACACATGCACTTTCCATGTTTAGTCTTTAACGTAAAGGGGACCGGAAAGGAAAGACCTGAGGCAAAGGCCTGCTGGCTCACAGGTTCTCCTGCATCCTATCATCCGTTTCCATCTCCGCTAGCTGCCTCCTCAACGTGTTCACCTTGGCCTGAAGCTCCTTGTTGTACTTTATGATGTTGATCATTTCTTCGTGGGCTTCGTCTAGGAACTTGGAAGGTCTGTTCCATCGAAGAAAGACACCTGAAAGCCCAGAGAGAGCACAGGTCTGAAGGGTTTCTGGTTACAAAGAGGACACGTTATTCCCACCCCATCAGCTCTCAAGTAATGTGCACAGAGTTAATGCATTTTTCCTTGCCCTCCTGTCACTAAATCGCATTTAGAAATGCTGACGCTTTCTCATTCTGTTAGAGAAGATTAATCAAGAAGAAATAAAGGGTTAAAGAAAACAAAATAGGGGTTTTCATTCCTTTTTTCTCATGTACTGACCAGGCCAATCCATATTCAGCCTCCACTCTGCCATGACAGCATGCTTGCTTCTCTGTAATTAACTTCTTCAAGCAAATATGGGATGGAGACAGTTTCTGCAGCAGGGAACCTACTGTACACAGATTATCCTGATCAACAGAATCGGTAACAGGGAAAAGGAAGGCTTGATTGGTAGAGAACAAAAACCTTGGGCCTGCAGAACTAATCTACAGATTAGGCTACATCATTGCAGAAATACTGTGCTAAAAAAGCTAAAATGGTACTAGGAAGGCTCCCTGGCAAAGAGTAGCGTGTCATCAAACCACAGAAGGAGAAAGCATTACGCCTCTGGGGATGGTACGTGCCAAAAATACTTTGGAACAGATTTCAAAACGGAGTGAGATCACCATCAGCCGAGACAGACCGAGTGCAGAGCGGAGACAACAGGAGCAAACACTTAGGACGCTTTTACAAGTAGGCACAAAATGTAAATTGCCCGACACAAAAAATCCAGCCTGGCTTACCTTCCCAGAGCTGCAGGCTCTGCGGGGCAACGGAGGGCCAGATCACAAGGCTGTTGGCTTCAAAAAGAGGATTCTGGAATTTGCTCAGTTCTTCAGACCTGTTCACCCAGGACCACAGGGACATGGTCTTTTGCGGCAGCTTCAATTTAGACCTAACAAACCCACAGGAACCAAAGTTAGCTTTCACTTTTACACCGTCAAGACTCGTTTTGTCAGAACTAGAATGCAACAAGCTTTTCCATGTGCTACTTGCCTGGGCAATTCAGGCTAATAATCCCTTCTCACCAGCATGGTGCGGTGCGTAAACTTAAAGCAATTTACTCAACAATTAGTTTGGAAGAAAAGATGGGGAAATAACACTTGTAAGCTGGGTGGACACTGGCTGCCTTCCTTGCAGCCAGATGAAGAATCAGTCAGCCCCCCAAGTGGGTTTGGAAAGGGGTTGAAGTCCTGTGTTAAGGCAGAGCTGGGAGATCTGCATCAAGGAAGGATGAAAGTGGTTTTACTGCTGGAATCGTGCAACGGGCACGTCCGACTAGGTCCCTCTGGTGGCAAGAAGTACTGGAGCACTACGCTGCTCTGGGTCAAACCCACCTGCAGGAGTTACACGGGGGTCTCTGTGCCTTATTTTCTGACAAACCTCTTTCCACAGGCACTAGCAACCCGAGCTGCCAGGCAGGCACGAGATTCACCGTCTCTGGGAACGCTTCAGACAGCGTGAGCTTAACATCGGGGCCTTGATCGTTTTCCGCGCTCACAGGCTGACGTGCTGGGATGTGACAGGCAGGTTATTGCACCTAACTTCAATCCTGTTTCAAATTTCATCTTACTGGTTTCGAGTCTAAGTTGGTTTTACAGATGGCCAGTTTGGCAGCCCTGCAGAAGACAGAAGTCTCTTCTACGCAAAGATTACTTTAAGGGCAGAGAGGTTGATTGGAAGCTTTAACCTGCTTTCCTTATCTGTAATATCAGCTCTGTTTTTCCTTTCTACTCATTCACAAATCATAGAACAGTTTTGTCTGGAAGAGACTTTCAAGACCAAGTCCAGCTTTTTCCTAACCCTGTGAACACCACCAAACCACGTCCCTCAGCACAACATCCACCCATCTCTTAAACACCTCCAGGGATGGCGACTCAACCAGCTCCCCAGGCAGCCTGTTCCAATGAATCTGTTCCTTGAGTAAAGGGTTTCAGATGTCTTCGGCCAAGCAGGAGATGAGACATGCTCTTACTGGAGCCAGGAGTGCTGAGAACAGAACTGCCGAGTTCCAAAGAGGAACCCAAACCTCTCCGGCAGCTGCCATGTGAGGCTTCCATCCCGCTGGGTTCCACCCTGTTTACTACTCCCAGCAGCCTTACTCAGAGCTGCCCCAGTGCTAAAGCACAAAGTCTAACCCAGTCCAGGATTCAGAAGTGAGGTGCTGGTTTGTTCAAGAACCTTAAACACCACGAACCTGTAAGCAAGCTCCATGGATCCCACTTTCAACAGTTAACGGATGATGCAAATCCCAAAGCTTTCCTTTCCTGGAGGGGCTGGGACCACCAGGCTACAGAGCCATGTTCCTCCCTGACTTAAGAATCAGACTTTCCACCTTTGGTCTCTGACTTTCTCAACCTTCTCCTCCAGGCCTGCACGCACAAGTTTGCTTCCCCCAGCCATGACTCACATCATTGTTGAATTCCAGCTGCTTATTCTTTTACAGAAAGAGTCTCTACATAAGAGACCATGTAGACTGGTGATGAGTGGAGATTTTTCAAGGCCACAGAGGGAAACAGAAAAGATAATCTAAGGTATTAGCTTGGACTTCGAGAAGACAAATTCAAGTCCCTGAATGTGCTGCAAATTTTTTTCAGGCACACTGTCCCAATTCTAAGAGGGACAAGCTCCCCAACATTGCACCACGCTACGTCAACTGCGACAAGAAAAGCTCTCCTGAGCTAACAGAGACTGCACAAGCACCCTCATCCTTTTTCAAACCAAGGGACAAATTTATTTTTCTTTTTGGTCAGACCCAGCCCAATATTTAAATCAGAGTTGAAAGCAAGGATCCTCACCAACCTTTCATTTTCGTTGTTTCCCAGGAAAGTCCCAAACTGTGAAGCATAAGCGTGTTCAAAGAGCATAATGAGGAACTGTTCGTTGAATTCAAAAGAGCAAGGGAACTGGCGAAGGATTTGCCACACACAGTCCAAAAAGAGGAGGAACACCGGGGCCTCCCATTTCTGCTTGCTGTTCGAATAGGCTGACTGGGCACAGCGCTGCTGGAAGGGGTGACCAGCCTATAGGTAAGAATCAGAGAGAGCATCACGCACAAAGCAACGGGACACAAGTACACGTAGCAAAAAAGGTTTTAGAACTAGTTCTTGTCCACGCAGCTACGCTGCTACCGCTCTTTTCTGTGACTGTAATTTCATCAAGCAGCCAATAACAGAACTACAAAATTTGGCTGCTTTTTTCAGGCTACATTAGTCACCCTATATTTGAGAATTTTACTAAGATCAGACTGGTGTGGGTGCACCAAAGGCGCAGGCTGAGCCTATGAGCTGCAAAAGCACAAGGAGTAGAACTGAGACGTTGCGGTTTAGTCTGAACAGCGCTCTTTAGAGAGAGCACACAAAACAGGCAGCTCCCCCAAACGAAAAAATATTCCATGAGACAGAGACCCCACGGATTGCCAGAGGGACGAATGACTCAGTGAATGATGTTGCTTTTAGGACGAAGGCCCCTCACACCAAGCAAGGCTGCAACAAGGCCTGACCCGTTTGCTGCCTCTCAGGCTGTTTCTCAACACGACTGTCACTGGAAGAGATTCCCGGGTTGTCCGCTGGCATTTCTTACCTGCAGCCACTCCCTCGCAATGAGGGATTCAAAGCCACGTATGGTCCTGCACCTTGGGTCCAAGATAATCTGCGCCAGAGAAGTTACCTGAAGCGTCGAATCGGTTCCTTCAGTCCCGTGGACTAACACTGAGGCACCTTCCCTGCGAAAGAAAAAGGTGTGTGGGTGAGCAGAACACATCCCAACGGGCTCCAGCGCATCCCGCGGACACCGGTGTTGCTACCCTGACAACGCCGAAGTTTTGCCGGCTCTTTACCCCCCAGAACTCTGCATCACTTACGGCTTAGTTTCTTCCTAAGCATTCTGGAATTCCAGAACCTTTGCCAAGATGCAAGGAGAAATCTCTTTCATAGTGCTGCCTATTTTGAACTGGTAACTCTTTTGAGTTACAGCAGGGAAATACACGGTAAAATTTGCTCGTGTCGCTTATCGCTTTGCCGAGTACTCCGAAATCTTCCCCTAAGCACCGCAATGAAGGTGTATCATGCCTCCAGATGCTCTGCAAAGCAGTAGGATGAGATTCTCGTGCAAATCTGGGCTTAATTGTGTTTGGGCCTCAATTGGGGGTTACTGCAAGACAAAGTAAGCCAGATCAGGAGAAAGAAAGGAACAAAAAGGCAGGATTTGGCCTCCAGAAAGGCAGCAGAGTTGGTGCTGAGCGAGGAAGCTTGTCAAAGAGCCAAGCACAAAGGCTCCTCACTCAGCAGCCAGCACAAGTGAATCAGCAGAACAGTCTGAGGAGCAGAAGGAGCTCGGAGAGTTTGGGGCAGGAAGGTTCTGCACAGTGTGAGGGGTTCATGTGCTGTCACTTCCCCCCGGTTCAGTGGGGACTGCCCAGCACAGCTGATTCCCTTCCCTCTGCTCCATCCTAGGCTGTATTTGGATACAATACCAAAATCTCATCTATAAGCACCTGAAGGAAAGACTGGATGGTATTAAACTGCATTCATTCCTCTGCCTTTTCCCAAGCCTTGACCCAGTGTCTCGCTTCTGCCAACACCCTTATCCTTACAAAGGAACTTAACTGCAGGTCGTGTTCGTTTCTGCCCAGAGATCCCAAGTAAGCAGCAAAGCACAACTAAGAAAAATCAATCTCCCAAGCAAGTAACCCTGCAAACATCTCTTTTTGAAGTGAAGACCGTAACAATCTATACCTTAAGCACTGCCCTATCTTTGTCTATAATCCTATGTCTAAAATAAACCTCATACAGACAATCTTCAGATAATTTCTCTGCTCTCCCCACCCCGCAGCAGCAAATAAAGAAGCTGCTGAGCAGCCAAGGACAACTGTGACGGTTCGCTGCAAACCTACGCGCTCCTCAAAGCGGGGCACGCCAGGATAAAGTTATTTTCACCTTTCATCCTTCAGGCCCCAGACCTTTAAGATGCTGCAAGACCTGTCCCAGCCATTCCCTCCACACAGCCAATATAACTGAACCTTTGCAGCTCAGCAATCAATTCAACTTTTTCAATGTATCTGAGTTATTTGTGTTGCCACACAAAAACGACCCGAAAATTTTACCGCGACTGCACAAATAAAGCACAGGGCACATTCGCTCTAACTGTGCTGTATAAAGTAAAAGCATCACTGAATCAATCGCTGGGTTGCAGCTCAGCTGAGGTCTCCAGGCTCGGGATGATGCTGAGCTGGGCCTGCCACAGCTCCAGGCAAACAGGGGGGGAAAAAAAAAAAAAAAAGCAAAGGCGAGGTTAAAAATGATGAAATTGTCCGCTGTCCAAACAAGTCGGAAGAGTTTCATCACCGTCCTCATTTTACACACGCAAGAAGGAATTACAGATAAAACTATTGACCAAGAGGAATCTTTTGCTGGCACAGTCAATAACGAAACAAGCACTGTCAGAGTTTTTGAAAAGCACAGCAGCTCTTATTGAACTCCTTTGCCGAGGAGACTGCACTTCAGCCTGCCGGTGTACCAGTACAAAGGGGTCCTCAGGCTGGTAGGAGAAGTTAGGTTTTCCCCTGAGTTCTGCAAAGGGCTTTCCTCTCTCAGAGCCACAAAGAAATCACATTTAGACTCCTTGGTTTTACAAACCCTGGCACGTTGACAGCCAGCTTTTGCCCTCCAGCCTGAGGGCTGAAGGCAAGTTAAGCCAAGTCAGCAGGATTTTATTAAAGAAATGTCAGGCTAAATGAGGTCACAAGCACTTGTAAGGGATGAACGGGATTGCTTCATAAGGACTACAGGGAAAAAAAAATTTCAAGAGGGAAAAAGCACTGGATCACTTTCTGAGGAAAATAAGGAAACGCCATTGTTTTAATCTCTAGAAGTGAGGTGGGGTATTGGAAACTTTCAGCTGAAAAAAAAAGGGCTCTTAAAACAAACAAACGAAAAGGCTGTGTTCTCACTATACTGGGCTACCAAACAGCATTTCACATAGGCACATCCTAACTTAAACCTTCAGGAAAACTAAATAAGATAGATTGGTTACATCAGACAGGAACACACCTTAACTAATGATCTAACACCTATTCCTTCCAGCTTAGGCCATTCTATGATTCTATTCTTAGCTAAGATTTCCTCCCTCAGGCTCATACTTCTCAAAATGCAAGCATGATTTACCGGAGGAACATTCCTGAACCACGAAGAAACAGTATCTCGCATACGTACAAGCAAACCAGCTCACAGCGGCCAGTTAGTGGAAATAGAGCTATATAAAAGTAATTTGTGACGGGAGAATGAGAAGCCTGAGGTTTTTTGAAAAAATATTCACCTGTCAATACACTGAGCAGCTAGACAGGCTGCAGTCAGTATCTCCTTGATGTGAGTCAGCCAGTTGGAAGCTTCCAGTTTACTGAGCCAGCGGTCCATGTTGTGCGACTGGTCGTTACAAGCTTCCACAAGCTTGATGAGGCTTTCCTGCAGAATATTAAACCTTGGGGAAAAGCAAAACCATATTAAAGCCAGTTACACAGCAAACAGGACAACCTGCTTACAGGAATACACCAGTGGCAGAATAAAGTACTAAGATTTTCCAACCTTAGTGATTCTATACGATGTTATTTCAAAAATATATTATTTCAAACCCTCCAGAAGTCACATCTCATTCAGCCAACAAGTCTGAGGTGGGAGTTTTAACCTGTAGAGCTGCAACAGTAACCTGGAAGTCTCATGAGGACACAACTCCACCGTGACACGGAAAAGATGAAACTAGACTCAACTTTTGCAGGTAGAACCACACTAAGATTAGTTCGGCTCATTTCTTAGGGACACAAGAATAACGGGGGGGGAAAATATCTTGTATCACTTCTGCATTTGTCGCTTTGTTCCTCAAGCCCTGGAAAGCTGGTAATTCAGCAGGCAGCCAATAAAACCAGATGTTTCTCTGGCCATCCAGAGGGACCAAACACCCCATAAAGCCAATTCCAGCGTGTGCTCAGGTCTAACAGAGGATGCAGCTAGCAGACTAGATCTCCAAAAGGCTGACAAAGCCAAAGAATAACAATAATAGCATGAGATATTTAATCTTCCTATATTATAGTTTATTCATTCCTCCCTATCTGCTGCTTAAATCCACCTGCAAAATAATAAACATCAAATTTAAGTCCACACAAAATTTTTTAGCATGAAAACCAAATATTTCAAAGCAATGGCCACAAAAGGGGAAAGCTGGAGCTACAGATATCAGAGAAAAACAGGACACGGGGAGATTGCCTCATCCTGAACAACCTCCTGCAGGTTTCAAACACAGCTCTCCAAAGCCAAATACCTTTATCATTCCACATATCCTGGTTTTGCCACATAAAAAAGGTGACTCCATTGACAGGAACCAGGAATCGTGGCCACTTCTCACAGCAGCAAACACTTTATGGAGCTAGCATGGCTCTGCCAGCACCTTACAAAGCCAACCACAGCGGAGAGCCCGTGTGATTTCACCCACCTCTCAATACATTTGTGAATCCTCCTCCACTGGGGATAGTGCACTTCTTGTTCAAAGCCCCCTCCTTTAGCCCTGGCCTGCTGAGCAACGTTCAAGGACCTCGTATCAATGATGTAGCCACGCTTGCCAGGCCGTAGCGTGGCGTTAATAAGCTTCTCATCTTCTTTACACCGTCTCCCGTTGGTACCTGTAAGGGGCTGGCTGCTTCGCATCATGACCTGCAGAGAGGAAAATAAAAACAGGAATCAAGCACTGGGAAGGGGGAGAGTTAATGCCGGAAGACAGCGATCGCTTGAGCTCCAGTACAAGAAATGAAGGTTTGAATTCACTGTGTGAAGGACACCCGTCCACCGGAGGATTTTTTAGGAGTCTGTAATACAGACTGCAAACTCATGTGCTACATTTAAGGGTCTCAACACCAGGTAACAGAGAAGCTCACTGCTGAAACTCACAAAGGTTTCTCCATTTTTTTTTCTTTACAACTCAGGTCACTGTAACGATGCCACTGGGAGTGAGAGAGTTCAACCTTAAAAAGCTTGATCTGTCAGCTCAGGGGTAAAATTCAAGCTGTTCTCCCTCACCTGAATCCTCCAGTTCTTTTAAATCCAATCCCTTGCAGGGATTGAATTTACTTAAAAAACAAACGAGAAATCCCTGAATTGAGTATAGACCTGATGAGGAGCGATTGAGGGAGCTGGGTCTGTTCAGTTTGATGAAGAGAAGGCTGAGGGAGGATCTCATCATGCTCTAGAGTTACCTGAAAGGACATTGTAGAGAGGTTGGGGCTGGTCTCTTCTCACAGGTCATTAGGGACAGAACCAGGGGGAACGGTTGCAAGTTGCAACAGGGCAGGTTTAGGCTGGACATTAGGAAGAAATTCTTCACGGAAGGGGTGGTCAGACCCTGGAACAGACTGCCTGGGGAGGGGGTTGAGTCGCCATCCCTGGATGCGTTCAAGTGTCGCTTAGATGTGGTGTTGGGTGATATGGTTTAGGGGTGACCTTGTAGTGTAGGGTCAATGGTTGGACTTGATGATCCCAAGGGTCTTCTCCAACCTGAATTGGTCTATGATTCTATGAGTGATCACTTGGCAGGACACTTCTAAGTTAGAGATGTCTTCTTAGAGGCTTTATCCCTTTAATTATTCCTGTAGTACCAGCTTTGTGAGCCATTGGCTTTGTGAGTTTTTGGGACTGTAATCTTTAAAGTCTCTTCTCAACTCTGTTTTTAACACATAAACAAACTGAGTGTTTTAAAGATGCCTCCTGTTTAGTTTTACCCAGTGGCTAAACTAATAAACCTTAGGTCTACAGATTCAGGAGTTGAGATTTCTCTTCAGTAAATGCCTTTCAATTCAGAAAGCATTCCAGCAGCTCAAACGACAACCAGAACATGAGGGCAGCCAGTCAGCAACCCCAGCTAAGCTCAAGAACTCCGAGTCAGGAGAGCAACATGACAGACAGTGCTACCGTCACGAGTTCAAGCTCTGGGAGTCAAATGCTATTATATTCCTCACACTTGAAAACATGCACAATCCAGAGAGAGAATTGAACAAACCTTCCTTCGACGGTTTTCAGTCGATCTGAGAAAAAGCAGGAAAAGCGTGACGTGCGATGTTGCCAGATGGTTGATTTTAAAAGCAAAGCAGAAAACCCCAATGGAACTACTCAATCAGACTAGACGCCCTCTAATTCAGGGCTTACAAATCTTGGCAACAGGAGGTGAAAACACATTAGAGCATTTGATGCAGAAGCGTGGATCACGTTTACAAGGCGCAGGACGGATGTCCCGACACCCTCGGAACTGGTTACATCAGCAAGAGATACACGGAATTACTCAACCATTTCATCCAGCGCATCTCTTAATTACAGCATATCCCTCCCTCCATTAGATTTTGGCTCGTTGAGAGGCGGCAAAGCCTACGCAACAGCAAGAATTGGCTACTCCTAAAACACGTTCTAGCGACAGGCTCAGGGAACAGATTGTTCCGATCGCTCCTCCAACAGTCACACAGCAGAAGCGCCGCCGGCTCCGGGCATCGCTCGCTAACTCCGTTCCGGAGGTGACGGCCCAACACCCAGAGACAGGACGTGGTTCCTGCCATCCTGTCAGTAGGAAGCCTCTTGGCAGCCAAAGCAAGTCAGCGGTGGCTTTACAAGTCTCGTCTTGCTCTTACTGCTGTGAGCAAGCTCATGCCACGTCGGCTCCCAAACGAGGGGATTAATGGCTATTTCTGCAAGATCACTCCTTCCATCACTTGGAACCAGTTTCACCGCAAACACTTAAGTTGGAAAATAAAAGGAATGAACATCTCACCAACGGTATTAAGTCTAGAGCACAAGTGTGGGGTTTTTTTTCATTAAATGGATCCACAACCATTACTCAACCGCAGCTTACCATCCCGTTCTTCTTATGATAATAGCTGAGGACTGGGAAGCGACTGCCGTGGCGAAACATGGCAACTTTCCGAAGCGCTTCGTCATCGATGGATTTGGGCACGATGACAACCGGAGGATAGGAGGGACAGACCGAGAATTCCTTATTGATGCAGCTTAGACGCCATTCATCCGTCTGGAAAAGATCAGAACGTCCAGATTACTACTCAGATTACCGCCCTGGGGAGCTGTTCCATCTGCAGCGCAGACGAAAGCTCAGTCCTCGCTATCGGCATCATCACTGTTGTTCATCCAGCGATCTGGACGCCCTGCAACAGCACGACTACGCTGCTCTGGCAGATCAAACCCAGCACCCCATCTTGCCTCCAACAAAAACGTGGCTAGAGATGCTCTGCAAGAGGAACAAACAAGCCTCTCTACAGTGCACTCCTCGTCCCCTACCTCTCAGTGTTACACCACAGAGATCAGGAGGTATAACCCTGCCTAGTCCTTTCAGGATCCATTTATAGCGCTGTTGACAGATTATTTTTTGCCCCCCTCATGCCTCTTGATGCTGCCTGCAATCACGATACCTCGTTGTGGCAGCTCCCAGCAGCTCGTTACCCAGCACACAGATGAAGCCTGCAGGCAACTGAAGAAATTAGTGGGTAACTCCGGTTCTTGAGGTGCAGGAATTGCTGAACAACTGGTTTAACCACATCCTCAACAGCACAAAATAAAGCCCAAACAGTCCAAAATGAGCAATTGTAGCTTTTTATTATTTCACAAGACAGTGTGTACAGCACTGCAACATAACTTCCTGCATTTGCAGAGAGATTCGATTTCATAGGTGATAAGACAATGGAAAGGGAAACCCCAGAAGAGAAACCTATTCCTATACCAGCAGATTTAACAGAACAAAAAAATAAAAAAACCCCATTGATTTAGATGCAGGTAATTCAGGCTCAAATTTGTATTTGTGCTGATAGCAATTAGTAACACTGTCCACAAGACAAATGTGGCCAAGAAAAGCAAGAACATCCACAAACTCCAGATGATGATGAAGTTGCTTTGAGGTTAAAGTAGCAATTTAACATTTCCAGTTGGTTCTTTTCTATGGGCTCTGCTTTATGTAAAGCACTACAGCTCCTCCTCCGAAAGCACCTCCTGGAACCAGCACAACATCTAAGCCCAAAGGTCACGTTATGTAATTTTTCAGCTTCCAGCAGCCAAACGCTTGTGAAAGAAGCGGAATCTTGGCACCCTGTGCCCTGGCATGGAGCATCAGAGCTCAGGCCACCCGATACCCCGGGTCTGACGCAGGACTTGGCTCCATCAGGCAAAACCAAAGGTCTCCTCGCTGCTGAGGAGTCCTCTCGTACTGAAGCCCAGGCTGGAAGCGCTGACACTGCCCTGACCGCAGCCTTGGACAAGCCCAGCCTCCGTGGAGAGCTTCTGGGCTGGAAGCACACCGCTGCCTGTCGCGTTAAAGACACCATCTGGGTACATCGAGTGGCCACCAGGCAGATATTTGCCCGAGGGGCAAGCAGGACCTTGCCTAAATTTTAAGCAGGGAACTGAGTTCACAGTCCTCGACAGCAGGATTGTGGCTTGGCTGGGCTGCATCTTTAGTCAGCACATCCTCATCCTGGATTCCCCACGGCCAACAAAACCTGCTGGCAGAAACCTCGGTGGGGAAAACAACCCAGAAGCCTCTACAACACGCTTTGATTCCAAGAGCAGCATTAAATTCTTAAAAGTAGCAGCAGAACGGCAGTCAAATCTGCCCGTAAAAGCTCCAGACGCAAAGAAGTTAAAATACAAAAAGCCTTTTGAAGAGGAACAGGCAGCTGCTTTCAAGGTGGAATTTTTTTTTCTCCTCGTTTCTAATTCCTGTGCATCAACGTGACACAGTTGTGAGAGAGCAAACAAGACCTCAAGTAACTCCTCGGCTGAGGTGTTTTCAGTACAGACTGGGAAGCGTTGAGGAAAGTTGGGTTAGCGCGCATTAATCAGGAGCAGGTCTCTTTTCCTACTTCCTTTCTTCCAGAGCCTCACCACCTCTTGCCTTACTCCTCCTGACTGGCACCTGGTTATAGCAAAGGCTGATAGAAAACCAGGATCGGTTTATAAAGGCTTTCCAGAAATGAAGTCTTTCCCTCAGATGAACAAACTCAAGGTCAGCCATCCCTGCTGTAAGCTTCTTTCATTAATCACTGGCCTCAAAACAGCTTCTCTGAACACTTACACGTTGTAAAAAGCAGAGGTTCCTCCAGATGCAAAGTTAAATTGCCTGCGAGGATCACGTCATAGGTGGAGAATAAAGTTCTGGATCGCATAAGGGAGGCCAGCTGGTCACAGCTCATGGTTTTAATGCACTGACAAAGAATTTTTTTACAGCTTTTGGGGTGTCTGTGTTAAATTACAGCAGATGTCATATAATGCTGTGTAATTTGTTTGCAATAAAAAACCCCAAACACGGATATAGAACTGGCAAGCATCTTACTGCCACGTAAGATGTAGGGAAGGCAAATTTCAAAACTCCACGTTCTGCTTTTTGGAGGGACCGGCTGTCACCGATACCATCGGCATGAGAAGGAATGAAAGAGCATCGACCTGACTTATCTCCCACTTTGGTAATTTAACTCTGCCCATAACCTCCTCTCCTCCCCATTTATAACACGGGACAGATGATACTGTTATGTCATCCAGTTATGACCTACTGTTACACGAGAAAGAGGAGGGCAGCTCTGCTTCTGCAAAGGTCCAGTTAACCTCTGCGACACCAGCTTCAGAGACGACGGCAAAACCCAACACCACAAATCTCTTCTCAGTTTCTGCTTGGGGCACGCCTGCAATTTGGAAGAGAAAAATCCCTGCTATTCCTAACTGGAAGAGCGAAGTAACAGCGGTTCAAGGATGCTCAGCAGTAGATGCAGACGGGGGAAGCAGTGAGAGAGAAGAGCTGGACCTCATCCTCACGCTTGGCCAGGTAAGAATGCTGCCTGAAACCCAGAGAAAGAGCAAAGTTCACACTTAACTTCTCCCAGCAAGAGATCTGTACTCGAGGGAATCAGAAAAAGTTCATTCCAGCTAAAGCTCGAAGCAGCGAAGAATTAGGGGCTGAGCAGAAAGCAGAGAGGACTCCAGAGAAGAAGAAAGTAGAAGTATTTCCTTAAACACGGTGCAGGATTAACCCTTAACAGTTCTACTTTTCTTAGCCTAGTATTTGTTTAGAGATATGTATTTTCAAATGTTATTGAAAGGCTAAAACAGTCATCCCTTCCCCCCAAATTTTTTTAATTGCTAGGAGAGGTCATTTTCCACAAAAAAAACCCCCATGAAACAATTCAAGCTCTACTAATAAGCCTTAAAAAAATAAATAAATCAAAAAAACCAGCAGGGACCTTGAAGGATCCTGCAAAGCAGCAACGACAGAGGCCGTTCCCGAGGAACAGGCAGAAGGCAACAAGCCCTGTTAGAATGTGTGTGGACAAGAATCGTGACAGCAGATGCAAAAATTGATGCTTCCTTGATTAGAGTGAAATACGGGCTTATCCACACCACAGCAAACTGAACCCAAACTACAAAATCCAGGGGGTTTGAAGCACCACTAGAAAATTCAGGGAGTTTTAAGCAGCACCAGATAAAGCACAGCTGAAGTGTACAGAACCCTGAGCTCTTGCCTACAACAAAAAGCAAAAGAGAGGGAGAGGGAAAAAAAGTGAATGAATTAATTTGGCAGCCACAAAATACCTACATGTTAATTATACTCTTGTTGTACAAACAGCTTTGCTTAACTTCAAGAATAAACTGATTTTCCCAAGTTACAGCTCATAGTATCCTGCAGTTACAGAAGCTGGCAGGAGAGAAATCGCTCTAGCCCTTGTCTGACTCCTCTGAAAAAAACCACAGAAACCCCTGGCCATATACTCTAACTCAGCTACTCACTGCTTACACAGTATTGCAGCGATGAGTACAGATCTGAACACACATTTCATCTGACACACCTATAACCAACGCAGGCCTCGTGCGCTACCTGGTGCTTCGAGCGAAACCACAGCGCACACAATCAAAAGCTGGATGAGCAAACGTCAGCTACGCTGTGCACCTTTTATTCCCTTCAGTTATTTGTCTACAGCATCTTTAAAGTCTTATCTCACAGCACAACCATCCGGAGCCTGCAGGCACTGTGGAGTTTTTGCTGTGATACTCGGCATCAGGACAAAAAAAGACCTTGAGGGGCTGGAGCGTGTCCCGAGAAGGGCAGCGGAGCTGGGGCAGGGTCTGGAGCCCAAGTGTGCTGAGGAGCCCCTGAGGGCCCTGGGGCTGTTCAGCTGGAGCAGAGGAGGCTGAGGGGAGACCTTCTCGCTCTCTATAACTACTTGAAAGGAGTTTGTAGTGAGCTGAGGGTCAGTCTCTTAAAATTAAAGTTGGAAAAAGTCACCAACCCAACACTAGAATGACCACTAAACTATCTCCTGAAGCGCCACACCTACACGTTTTTTGAAGACCCGCAGGGATGGTGACTCCACCACTGCCCTGGGCAGCCTGTGCCCATGCTTGACCACCCTTTTGGTGAAGAAATTTTTCCCAATACCCCATCTGAACCTCCCCTGGTGCAACTGGAGGCTGTTTCCTCTCGTCCTGTTGCTGGCAACTTGTTTCTCTCAAGTGACAAGTGATAAGACAAAGAGGAAATGGCCTCAAGTTGCACCAGGGGAGGTTCAGATGGGGTATTGGGAAAAATTTCTTCACCAAAAGGGTGGTCAAGCATGGGCACAGGCTGCCCAGGGCCGTGGTGGGATCTCCATCCCTGGAGGGATTTAAAAGCCGTTAAATGTGGTGCTCAGGGACATGGATTAGTGGTGGATTTGGTATCACTAGGTTAACGGTTTGACTCGATTTTCTCAAAGGTCTATTTTAACCTAAACAATTCTATAGTGACTTCCTATGACTTAATTCTGAGCTGAACTGTTCTGTTGGGTTTATCACAACAGCAGTTCCCGGAAAGAAGGGCACTTGCCAAAAGCCCCACTGACCTGTGCTGTGGGTCATTATCAAGAAAATAAAGAGGTTGAGCACACACGTCCGAACTGGAACTCAATTCCTCCCATTTCTAGAGATCAAACCAAGCCTGAACTGTTCTTCCCTGAGCACTCTCACGGGCTAAATTCAAGAAAGCCACGACAGCAGCCTCCCTAATCCCAGAGCTGAGCTGCCAAGGAAAACTCAAGTGTTTGCTCTCAAATTCTAGGGGCAATGCCAGATGACGCTGTGTCAGATCAATGTAACGAAGCAAAATAAAAAAAAATAAAATAAAACTCACACCTGGGGCAAACATGTTGGGAGAAAAACACATTTGGCACAGCATATGCCAAGATAAACAGATAAATTGTTATTATTATACAGTAACATATCATCTCAACTTTGAATGTATGACCTAACTTTTTTTAACTCCTAACTTTTATAGTTTTAACTTTGCCATTACAGGACGTGTCAGAGTTTTTACAACTCTCCTGTAGCAGACAAACGTGGAATTAATACACTACTAGAGTTGCAGCAAGGGTAAAAGGTAGTTTTTGACAAGTTGTTCACAATCTTGGGGAAGGTAAGGCACCACAGACTCAGGAGGATGATTTAATGGAGAAGGAGGTAACCTGAATTTTACTCAGGAGGAAAAAAAAAGAATTCTATCAGCGATTTACTTGCTCTAGCCTGTCACATCAGACAGGTTAACTCCAGAACTAGAAATATTTGGTCAACAATGTATTTATCTGTTGTTCAGGAAACATAAATTATTTTAATGAAATGGTGCCAAAATGGTACAAAAGGAGTTACAGCTAAAGTTTTGGGTTAAAAGCCAAGAATTAATCAAGAGCTGTTAGACTGTTAGACATATTTTAAAAGAAATGAATTATTGCCCTTGAAACATAGCACTATAATTAGGTTTTGAGATGCAAGTCTGCCAGGGAGTATATGTTCAGAAAGCCAAGGGATTCCCAAATAAGCGATCACGGCATTTTTAAAATCTCTGACATAAATACTTTAAAAAAGAGCAGCACAACAATGGATACATGTTAGCACCTTGTTATAGATCCATGTTACCAGGTATTGTCCTGGTAAATAAAACTATCAGAAGTGATTTGATCCCTGAAATGCAAAAGAGATTTCAGCTGCACACAGAAAACAAAACGTGAACAGAAACGGAACCATCTCCTGTAACCTTTCATCAAGCTCTGAAGGATTTCCTTCTGCTGCTTTCAGTTCTGCTCCCTTCTCACCAGACAGCACTTGAGCTTCTGGCCTTTCGATTCTCCTCGAAATGCCTGCGAGCTTCCTCTGCTGAGCTGAGAAAGCATTTGCTGCTTTCCTCCAAACAGGATAACGTTCTGATCACGTTTGACTTCCTCAGCTGAAATTAAAACCGAAACGTTGGTGCTAGTTATTGGAACAGGTCAGTTTGTACATCTTTGGACAGCAGATGAGGATAGGACATGTGAGAGGACTCAAATTATGAGGCAAAAATGAGAAGATCTCCGAGCTCCTTTGACTTCCCAGTGATTTCATCACAGGAATCTGGTCAAGCTAATTGCATTATTCAGTTATTAGTCATAAACAGGAAGCGATAAAAGCTGCAGATGGGTTGGGATGAAGAGAAAAGGAGAAAAATCAATGTTCTTTCATGCTTTACTAATGGATGTGGGGCTCTGAAACCCATGAGGATGCAGCAAGTGCAGGTATTTAATGGGAAACTAAGACCTGGAACACAGAGATGCTAATCCAAGGCACTATTAGAACAGGCAGGCTCCTGCAACTGAGCCAGTTCCCACTGTATCAAGTTCAGTTTCATTTTCAGATGTCTGAAAGAACAAATACAACAGGCATTGCCACAAAAACAATTCCTACCCTGCAAATACCAAAATAATATCACATGCACCAGTAAGAATATGACTGGAAACTCCCTTCTCTCTAAACACTCCCAGTATTTCCCCAGCATGGATTAGAGAGAAGAGCATTTCAAACCAGGGATCTGTTCCTAGACAGCTAAGACATCCTTAGCAATTTTTTTTTTTTAAAAATAGCTCCATTTCAATTAAGGGGTTGACAAAGACTCGTCCTATTCCACTCTATATACGAAGTTAAGTGTAACAAACCCAGGCCAATGGTCTTAAATTTGTTCTTACAATCAGGAGGGACCATCCCCAAAGGACAAAAACATTTCCTACCTTCATGTCCTCCCAAGTAACTTTAAACAGGCCTCGAAAATCCGTTTGTACAAGGTGAAACCGAAGTGCTAAATAGGAATATTTAGCACAGAAATGCCTGATGTTTAAAGAGTGAGCATTGGAATAACACTCACTTTTGATCCAGGCATGGGACAGCTATTTTTTCCCCTCCAGGATTTCCAGTCTCATCATTGTAAAATATTTCACAAACCACTCACAAAAAAAAAAACAAACCACCCGAGTGCCTGTGCAAATCCTTGAGATCCAACTTACCACCGAGCTGAGGAGCTCGAATTCTTGGTCAGGCAGAAAAGAGCGCCAGCCGTCTTCAATAATTTCAAACATGGGCCGGTAGAAAAAGGGATACATGAGAGTGACAGAATCCAGGGTGGAAAGTGCCTGTGCCGGCCAGAGAAAGAAACAGCTACTTCATTCATTCCAACTGTTATTTTATTCCAAAAACCAGACAGCAAATAATGTTTTTTTTCTCTAACATGGCTGATGCAAACTTAGGCCACCCAAAAATATACAGCCATTAAGGTTAAAATATTGAGTTACCAGCAGAATAATTTAACACGTATATTTAAAAAAAACCAAATAGTAGCACAAAGAAAAGCAGATTTTAACAGATAATTTGAGGGTTTGTACACAGAGCATCATTTCTGTGGGCTGCCCTGTGTGGCAGCTCAAACAATGAGAGAGATGCACATTGAACAGGTTTTAACTAACGGGACACACCCTGCAGGACAGTGACCTGATCACTGGCAACAGCGCTTAAAGTCAAGAAGTCACTTCCTGTTGTTTGAGACACACAAAACTCAAGCTGATTTGGTTTGGCATCCTCACAATCCAGCAAAATGAAGCTCAACTTCATTTTTTCAAATGTTACAGCAAGATACATGATCAAGAAAAGTAGGAGGGTGTTTGGTTTTTTGTTTTTTTTGTTTGTTTGTTTGTTTTTAAAAGCCCTACAAGCACCAAACAATATTTTAACAATTGAAATATCCCACAGTTCTCATTTGCACTCCAGAACATCCCTGAAAACCTTCCTAACTGGTCCCAAAGCTGTCAAAGCTGAGGTGTGGTCAAGATGTAAGAACATTCAAGTGTTATTTATCCTGATGAATTCTTACCTCAATAGAGCTGGCAATGTTCAAACACTCCTCCATTCCAGGGATATCCAGCTGAATAATTCGCAGATCTTTGCATTTGATGATGATGGTGCCCAACGAGCCCACAAACCTACAGTCAAGACATAAAGAAAGAGTCTCTTAAAAACAGGGTCTTCTAAGGTAGGACAAGGTATTACAGCTCTTCCCACAACATAGACCTACAAGACAAAATTCCATTAGTAGTAATCTGTCTGCAATGTCACCTCTTGCAAAAAAATAAAGATAAAACCCCTATCTCTTTATTTGGTATCTGCATGTTGTGGTCCCCTGTTTTATTTTTTCCATTCCACCCTTGTGACAGAGTTACGAGTGGAAGTATTTAAAGGATAAAAGAGTTTTCCCTCTCAACTAGTAGTAATTTGTCTGCAGTGTCATGTCTTGCAAAAAATAAAGATAAAAATCCCATCTCTTTATTTGGTATCTGCATGTTGTGGTCCCCTGTTTTATTTTTTCCATTCCACCCTTGTGACAGAGTTACGAGTGGAAGTATTTAAAGGATAAAAGAGTTTTCCCTCTCAACTTTTCAAAATAGAAAAGTGCTGTTCACATATTTTCTGGTAGTACTGGAAGCTTTAGCCGAAATTTTCCAGTTTAAAGTACCGCACTGAAACTTCGAAGGCTGCTGGAAAAATCTTTGGAGTTTTAAATTGATTTTTAAAGGAACATTTCAGTCTGGCTACGTTACACTCCTTGGTCCGTGCCAAGAAATTTGCCTTTCTGATATCTGCAGTGATGCCACGGAGCTATTTGCTCTACAGACCTCAGAGAAGTTAAAGTCTCCTCACCGGTGGTTACAACACAACTCAACCCAGAAAAGACTTTAAGGTAGAAAACAAACAGCTCACTGACGCCCTCTCCAGTTTTCCATACGTGTCTGCAAGAAGGATGATGCCTGAACAAAAACCAAGTGCCTTCTTCATATCAGCTGGCCACCAGCACTCGGAGGAACGACGCAGATTTTCAGTTCACAAAGCAGGGAACTAAAAAAAAGCAACAGAGCCTCCTCCTACACAACAGCAGCGCTCGCAACAGCCAAGGGAAATACAAGAAGCTGGAGCAGGCAAGACCTGAAGGATGTTTTAGCCCCTCATGGCCTCACCCTCCGTCGGACCATGCTCACAGAAGGGAAGGCAGAGCTGTGCACGCTCCTCGAGGTGAGGGAGACCTGCTGTCAGCTCCGGGTTGCTCCGCTCACGCTCCGAAAGGCGTCTGTAATTTATTTGATCCTTATTTCTTCGGTGTCATTACCTTCACGTTTGGTGATTATCTATTTCTTCTGCGCAGAAAAAGGTCAGCAGGCAAAACCAATTATAATTTGGGTAGTGCCAAAAGAGCCAGTTTGACAGATGAGTTCTGCAACACCGGCCGAGCCTGGCTGCCCATCATTTGCCCTCGCTGCAGCGCTGCTTCGCAGACCTCCGAGGGAATAACGCGGTGCGGCCACAACGCAGGGCCAGGGATGCGTCTTCTTTGTGTGAAACCACCATGGGGAATCACTAGAGACTGTCCCACTTCGCAACAAACCCTACAAAATTGCTTAAAAAGCTACAAAATGTCAAGAAGCAGTTGGATGGCTATCTGGTACTTACAGAAGAAATATGTTTTGTACAGAAGACATGCAGCAGGAGCAGAGATTTTACGAAGCCGGCACAACGTCACAGTTGTTGGCGACTAATAAACTGAAGTAGCACCGAGCTGGACCGTTCTACAACCTTTATTGGTTTTAAAGCCTTGTAATTGCATTCTCTCTGGCATCCAGAACCTACTCTTATCCCTTTATGCAGCAGAGTTTCATTGCAGTTACAGTCACACAAAGCTACTCTCAGGGAGATGTTTACTCTGGGGATCTCCTAGAAACTAGGGCTGGCAGGAAGGGCTGTGAGTGACTGCAGACGTAGCATCTCCGTTGTAAATCACGCACGGAGCTAAAAACGTGCCACTCCCTCACCAAAACTTAAAACATTCCGTGCTTATTTCGTATTATCTCCCACTGCAACTAAGCTCATTAAAACATAATTAAAAAAACCCCAACAACTTGTCCACAACACTTCTCCAAACAGAGCTACGGCTTGTTTAGTACAAGGAGGATGAGGACAAACAGTCATGATGACTGAGCAGTACGAGATGAGATTTCCTGAGGTTTCCACCACTCTGTTTCTCTCCACCTCCAGGCCAAGATGCAGCATTTCTCAGAAATGCTCAGAGAAATCAGCAACATGGCAACAAACTTAATCAGCACCCGTTATGTCACCACTTCACAGATTCTGAGGCAACTTAATATTTTTAATCACTGCTGCTTAGTGGTTTGTTTTGGTCTTTTTTTTTTTTTTTACCCCAGTCTTGCCAGTAGAAGAGAAATCTATTCTTCCAGGTTACCTTAAAAAGAGAGAAAAACAGGGGGTTGGCTTTGTAATTATCAAAAAAAGTAAAATATTATGAGCCAACCAGAAAAAGGTGAGGAAGCAGACGGCAACGACCAGGTGAGCCAGGACTGCGACTCAACGAGGGAAGCGTGATGGGTAACAGGACATGTAAAGCAGATAGAAGCGACAGCAAGAAGCTTAATTAAACCTCTGAAGTCCCTGCAACAAAAAGGGATGGGCAATAATAAAAGAGGGTCTTGCAGCTACAGCTCAGCTTTACTATTCTGTTCCCACAAGGAGTATCCTGTTAAAGTG